ATTTGAGTTTGATAAACATGAAGGTCTTGTCCTTAAGAATGTTCTGTTATAATATGAAGTTGATCCATTCAATAATAGTAAAGTTACAGCCAGTAACAGCCAAAAAAATGAAAATTTCAATCATTTGACCTTCAAAGTCAAGGTCATTTATGAGTGAAGGTCAAGGTCTGTCTGCTTATTTTTAAGGGTTATCCTTGAAGATAATTATGTTCAAGTTTGAAGACAATCCATTCAAAAATAACAAAGTTACAGCCAATAATAGCCAAAAAAAAGGTAATTTCAATGATTTGACCTTCAAAGTCAAGGTCATTTATGAGTGAAGGTCAAGGTCTGTCAGGTTATTTTTAAGGTATATCCTTGAAGATTATTATGTTTAAGTTTGAAGACAATCCATTAAAAAAAAAACAAAGTTAAAGCCAATAATAGCAAGAACAAGCAAAATTTGGACTTTTGACCTTGAAGGTCAAGTTCATTTATGGATGAAGGTCAAGGTTAGTGTGATCTACTGAAATGTCTTGTCCCAAGGGTTGTTGTGGCCAAGTATGAAGACAATACACCAAGAAATAAACAACGGTGCCATAGTCACAAAATACGCCCGTTTACGAAAGCTTTAGATGGAGATGGGGGCATTATGGATAAGTGTTATCTAGCAAGCAAGTTTTTATTCTTGGCACTGTGTTGTTAAATGAACCTTCAAACAAATCAGTAGGGAAGATATGCACAGGATGTGTGACCTTGACCTTGGTCGCAGGGACCTGAATTTTATGCACGGCACTCAGCCTCACAATGATGAACATTTGTGCCAAATTATATTGAAATCCCTCTATGCATGTAGAAGTTTTGCTCCAGACAAGCGTTTTTCTATGAGCTCTAACTGTGACCTTCACCTTTGACCTAGAGACTTGGTTCATGTGCAGAGCACTACGTCTCATGGTGGTGAACAATTCTATAAAGTAACATTAAAATTCCTCCATGCATGTAGAAAATATGCTCCGGATAACATCTGGATATTTAATCATCTCCAGTGACCTTGACCTTGCAAATATTAACCTTAATTAAATGTGTCACACCTGTAGTCATGATAGTTACCATTTGTGCTACAATCCATCAATAAATGATGACTAAATGGTCCCTATACACATCTTCAAATTTTTATCTGAACTTTGACCTCTATGTGTAACCTTGACTTTGGTCGCAGGGATCTGAATTTTGCGTGCGACACTCAGCCTCACAATGGTGAACATTTGTGCCAAGTTATATTGAAATCCCCCTATGAATGTAGAAGTTTTGCTCCGGACAAGCGTTTTTCAATGAGCTCTAAGTGTGACCTTGACCTTTGACCTGGAGACCTGGATCATGCATGGAGCAATACATATCATGATGGTGAACATTTCCATAAAGTATTATAAAAATTCTTCCATACATGTAGGAGATATGCTCCAGACAAAATCTGGATATTTCACCATCTTTAGTGACCTTGACCTTGCATATATTGACCTAAAGTAGATGTGTCACAGCCGTAGTCATGATAATGACCATTTGTGTTACAATCCCCCAATAAATGATGATTAAATCGTCCCTATACACATCTTCATATTTTTATCTAAACTTTGACCTCTATGTGTGACCTTGACCTTGACTGCAGGGACCTGAATTTTGTGCGCGACACTCCACCTCACAATGGTGAACATTTGTGCCAAGTTATATTGAAATCCCTCTATGCATGTGGCAGTTTTGCTCCGGACAAGCGTTTTTCAATGAGCTCTAAGTGTGACCTTGACCTTTGACCTAGAGACCTAGTTCATATGCGTGACATGGCTTCTCATAATGGTGAACATTTCTATGAAATTTCATTAAAATCCCTCCATGCGTGTAGGAGATATGCTCCGGACAAAATCTGGATATTTCATCATCTTAAGTGACCTTGACCTTGTATATATTGACCTAAATTATATGTATCACAGCCATAGTCTTGATAATGACCATTTGTGTTACAATCCCTCAATAAATGATGACAAAATGGTCCATATACACATCTTCATATTTTTATCTGAACTTTGACCTCTATGTGTGACCTTGACCTTGGCCGCAAGGACCTGAATCTTGCGCGCGACACTCCGCCTCACAATGGTGAACATTTGTGCCAAGTAATATTGAAATCCCTCTATACATGTGGAAGTTTTGCTCCGGACAAGCATTTTTCAATGAGCTCTAAGTGTGACCTTGACCTTTGACCTAGAGACCTGGTTCATGTGCGCGACACTGCTCCTCATAGTGGTAAACATTTCTATGAAGTTTCATTAAAATCCCTCCATACATGTAGGAGATATGCTCCGGACAAAATTGGACGCCGCCCGCCCGCCAGGGGCGTTCCCATAATACGTCCCGTTTTTCAAACGGGCGTATAAAAAGTTATGATCCAGGTACAAGTTTGCGGACGGCAACAGCAACGCCGCCGCGACTATAACAATACCTCTACTTTTTCAAAAAAAGTAGAGCTAAAAATCAATTTACAAATGAATTCTTAGTTCAAAAATTAAATGGAGATAATTCTGGGAATACAGGAGCTTGTGTTTTATAATTCTAACCCATATGACAAGAAGTTATAGTAAAAAAAAATAACCTTTGTTAACATAAATTCAATCATGTTCAAGGGGGAATAATTCTGGAAATAGTCATGCTAGAGTTATGAAACCTTGTCACACAACGTGTGTGTAATGATAAGCAATATATAGTTGAAGTTTGAAGTAGATAACTTAAAAAGTATAGAAGTTATAATATTTCTTAAAGAAAATTTTAAGTTTGAAGGGAGATAAATCTAAAAATAATGCTTCAAGAGTTATGAACCTTGTCACATAAGATGGAATTGATGATAAAGAATATGTATTTGAAGTTTGAGGTAGATACCTTTAAACCTAAAGAAGTTATAATAGAAAATAACATTTTTCAAGTTAAAAACAAAAATCCAAGTTAATGGGGAGATAATCTTGCAATATTGGTGCTAGAGTTAAGAACCTTTTTTAAGGAAAATTCTAAGTTCAAGGGGAGATAAATCTGAAAATATTGGTGCTAGATTTATGAGATGTCACATGAGATGTAGTTGATGATAAGGAACATATATTTGAAGTTTGAAGTTGAAACTTTAAGAAATGAAAATGTTTTAGTGAAAACTAGAAATGTGTCCATAGGACACTGGTGCCCCCACATTCCACCAATTTTGTCAATCTTATGTCTCTAGGTCAAATTTTTTTTTTTGGCTACATGTGCCCAAGTTGAAAACTAAAAATCTTTTATTAAGTAAAGGGCAAATACTAAATAAATCCACAAGAAAACCCCAAGGTGCATAAGTACATATGCTGATCAACATTCTTGTAAACTTTCAGGCCTACAGGTCAAATACTTTTTGAGTTAAGTGCAACACAAGTTGAATATTGTAATTTTTACTAAGTTAAGGGCAATAACTCTAAAAATACTAAATATATCCACACAAAAATACCCAGGTGCAAAACTACACATGCTGAGCAACATTCCTGTAAGCTTTCATGACTCTAGGTCAAATACTTTTTTAGTTACGTGTGACACAAGTTGAAAATTGGAAATTTTTACTAAGTCAAGGGCAGTAACTCTAAAAATACTAAAAATATCCACACGAATATACCAAGGTGCACAACTACACATGCTGAGCAAAATTCTTGTAAGGTTTCATGACTCTAGGTCAAACACTTTTTGAGTTACGTGCGACACAAGTTAAAAATTGTAAATTTTTACTAAGTCAAGTGCAATAACTCTAAAAATATTAAATATATCCACATGAAAATACCCAGGTGCACAACTTCACATGCTGATCAACAATCCTGTAAGGTTTCATGACTCTAGATCAATTACTTTTTGAGCTACATGCGAAACAAAAAGAGGACGGACAGACGGATAAGAGTAAATCTAAATAGTGGGGGCACAAATATTTTACTGCACAAAAACTTTAAAACTCTGAAATCTGGACGCAGATGCGGACGCCGACGCTGGGGCAAGTATATACTTCATATAGTCGAGCTAAAAATCAAATTAATACAAAAGCCCATTATTTGCTAATGTTTTCTTAATTATGACGTCTCAGTTTTACGATCAGGAAACAGGAATACTAGGGAAGAATAGTTTTAAGAGGACAGAATGACATTCATATACTATCATACAAGGTGTTACACTCACCACTTATAATAATCAAACCTGAAACTTAAAATTTGACTTTCCTACATTAAATGTCTGTTGGCATATATCAATCAATATATTAGGACAATGCCAAAATAGAGTAATATAACACTAAGTGATCTTATTAAAGTATTTGAGCAATCATTAGCAACAATGTTAATAATAAATTACCAGGTAATGCCTAATGCATAGTTTATATTATGACAAAATGTATGCTATAATAAAATCAACCATTTTCTTGTTATATATTTTATTATATTATGTATTTACAATAAAATAAGTGAGTGAAATATTTGTATTTATTTCTATTTTAAATACATAATTTAAACAAGAGCCGCTTGAACCGGGTGATGCTCCCCGAGTAGGTTTTGGACACAGGAAGGTATCCCTCTTGTAGTCTCAGAGTTATGTAACAGACAAAGTTTAAAGTGTAAAAACAACCCAGGTGTTGCACGCGACACATTGTCTCAATATGGTGATCATTTCTGTGAAATAGTTGTAAAATCCGACTTCAAATAACGAAGTTATGGGCTGGATACGATTTTGCTGCAAGGTCAAGTTGTGACCTTGACCTTCAAAGTAGCAACCCAAATGTTGCTAGTGATACATCGTCTCAATATGGTGATCATTTCTGTGAAATAGTTGTTAAATCAGACTTCAAATAACAAAGTAAAGGGCCAGACCTGATATTGCTGAAAGGTCAAGCTGTGACCTTGACCTTCAAGGTAGCCACCCAAATGTTGCAAATGACACATTGTCTCAATATGGTGATTTACCTTGACCTTCAAGGTAGCGACCCAAATGTTGCATGCAACAAGTCAATTTAATATGGTGATCATCTCTGTGAAATAGTTGTTAAATCCAACTTCAAGTAATGAAGTTATGGGCCGGACATGATTTTGCTGCAAGGTCATGCTGTGACCTTGACCTTCAAGGTAGCGACCCAAATGTTGCGCATGACACGTCGTCTCAATATGGTGATCATTTCTCTGAAATAGTTTTAAAATCCAACTTCAAATAACGATGTTATGGGCCAGACACGATATTGCTGCAAGGTCATGCTGTGACCTTGACCTTCAAGGTAGCGACCCAAATGTTGCGCGCGACACATCATCTCAATGTGGTGATAATTTCTGTGAAATAGTTGTTAAATCCAACTTAAAATAATGAAGTTATGGACCGGACACGATGTTGCTGCAAGGTCATGCTGTGACCTTGACCTTCAAGGTAGCGACCCAAATGTTGCGCCTGACACGTCGTCTTAATATGGTGATCACTTCTGTGAAATAGTTGTAAAAGCCGACCTCAAATAACCAAGTATGGGCCGGACACAAATTCGGGACGTATGTATGGACGGACAACCTGACGACTATATGCTCCCCCAAAATTTTTCGGGGAGCATGATAAAATATAACAAGAAAATAGTTGGATTTTTTTTATAGCATGACACTTTAAAACGCACATTGATTGTATGGAAGCTTAGATTGCTTAAACAGGATGCATTCAAAGTCACACTTTAATTTTTCAGTTCTCCAGAATATGTTTACTTTCAAAATACTTGAAACTTAAATGCATGAAATTTTCAGGACTTGCCACAACCAGCATTTTAGTGCTTTCATTTTTAGAAGGCCATTGTGAACGCCTGCAGATTAGTATTACATAATATATAGCTGGGACATTTTGACCTTTGGCAATAACAGATATGCTGAATAAACAATAATAATTCAGAAGTACGTAAGACAACTATGGTAGATAATAAAACCTTTTCCAAAAATATATGAATTCTTATCCTACTAGACAATTTCAATATCATTCAGCAAAGCCTTGAACCATTTGTATAAAACACTTTAAAGTACTTGTAAATAAATTTCCACAATTTTCGTAATATGACGATCAATCTCAACATCTCTATTCTTGCAGAGTAAAGAGTAAAATGTAAATCAGACAACAAGAAAATAACCTGGGTAGACAAAAAGACAATAATATTTCAATCAAAACAATAGATTAGATTATGAAAGTCATATAGAAACAGAACAATAGTTACGTACTACCTTTACATTTTATTTTATCAAATTCACTAACCTGAATAACTTTATCATCAAGCTCATCAAACACATTGGGATCTGTATAAATTTCATTTTTCCTGCAAGCAGGTGGGTGCGGCCCGGGAAGCTCAGTTTTCTTCGTCTGTTCCAACACCTCCATAGTCTCTATAATCTCTTTCACTATTTCCTCATCCTGGAGATCTACCATTGTTTCCGGCTAAATCAAAGAAAAAAGTATAAATTAAAAATGACATTATCCAAATTCTTTGGACTAATTAACTTGTATCCATTGAATTTTATTTAATTGACTCATCCTGGTTTGAACTGTAAATGACCTATAACTATATGACATTATAATGTTCTCGGTGAGAGGAGCAGCAAAAAACCATTACACTAGTGACCAGATTTTAATTTCTTCCATAACTGTATTTTGAATCAGATAAATTGCAGGTCCCCCTCATTCTAAGAAGTAATACATACACTTGCCCAATTAAACATACATTGCTAGAAAAGGTCACAATGTTAAAGTCAGTTACATGAGATCACAAAGGGTTTGTCATTTATTACAAAGCATTATATTTTTTTTAAGTACTTGTACATGTCTGCTACTAAATTCTTTATGACAATATCTAAGCTTTTTTACACTGCTATTTCACTCAAGAAAACTTAATTAAATGTGTTTTACTACATAAATATATATAAAACTAGAAATGTGTCCATAGGACACGGGTGCCCCCACACTCCACTGTTTTGTCAATCTTATCACTTTAGGTCAAATATTTTTTAGGTTACATGTGCCACAAGTTGAAAACTAAAAATTGTTTACTAAGTCAAGGGCAAGTCAATACTGAATAAATCCACAAGCAAACCCCAAGGTGCATAAGTACATGGCTGAACCAACATTCTTGTAAACTTTCAGACTTACAGGTCAAATATGTTTTGAGTTATGCATGATTAAGTTGAAAATTGCAAATTTATACTAATTCACAGTGATGTGAATCATTATTCCTGAAATTTAGTGATATTGATCATTATTCCTGTAAGGTTGTTTGATTCCAACTCAAGCTAGGAACAAATAACAACATAATGAAACGGTTTTTACTAAGTCAATGGAAAAAACTCTACAAATACTGGATAAATCCACAAGCGAAACCCCAGGTGCAAACCTTCCCATAAGGTTTAATAACTCTATGTCAAATCCTTTTTGAGTTTCATGCGACACAAGTTGAAAATTGCAAAAAAATTCTAAGTCAAGGGCAATAACTCGAAAGGATACAAAACATGTGTGCAAAGTTGGTTTTAAAACGTCGGAAATTTGATAGTTCTAAACAGGCATTGTACGATTTGCATTGGTTACCTATTAAAGCAAGAATAAATCAGAAAATTCTAACATTCATGTACCAATGTTCTGTAGGCAGCGCACCGCTTTACCTGGCTGAACTTTTAAGCTGGCACTGGTTCCAAAGCGACAAGGGCTCAGATCAGCTGATTTAGTAGACAGTGTTTACGAAGTGCCTTTTAATAAAAGAAAAACATTCAGTGACAGAAGTTTTGGTACGGCGGGACCGAAATTATGGAACCAATTACCAATAGATATTAGACAGTCTCAGTCTCTAGATGTGTTTAAACATAAACTAAAAACCCACTTTTTCAATAACTTCTACTCATTGTTTTAATTTAATTTTTGGCTTTAACAACTACGGTGATTCAGAACAATTTGCTAAGCAATAATCTAGCACAATTGCTATTGTAAAATTCAAGTAACTTCTGCGTTTTAGTCTGATATTTTTACATAACTTATGTGTTTTACCAGAAATACATGTATTGAATTTTTTATAGATCTTATAAGTATTTTTCTTTTTAAAAACAAGCAACAGGTTTATAAAAATTTTTAATGTCATTTAAAGGTTAGTGTCAAATGTAATGTATTTTTGGCCGACAGCAACAGGAATGCTAACAAGTATATAGAAATAGGTTTTGGACACAGGAAAGTACACCTCTTGTAGTTTCAGAGTTATGTTCCTGGAAAAAGTTCAAAGTGCAATAATTCCAAAATTAGGCAAGGCAGAGTAACTGTTCTTTGCACTGCACTTCTAATCAATGTGATCTATCAACCTACAAAGTTTCTTGATGGTATCTCTTATGAGTTATGTCCCGGACAACTTCAAAAAGTAAAAATAAACAAAGGGCAATAACTCCAGAATTAGGCAAGGCAGAGTTATGATTCTTGTGCACTGCACATCTACCCATTGAGATATATCTACCTACAAAGATTCATGTTGATATCTCTTATAGTTTTACAGCTATGTCCTGGACAAGATTTTTCTAAAAGGGGAGATAATTCAAAAATGAGGCTTAACAGAGTTATGGTTCTTTTGCACTGCACCTCTACTCAATGAGATCTATCAACCTACAATGTTTCATCTAGATATCTCTTATAGTTTTAGAGTTATGTTCCGGACAAAGTTCAAAGTGTTAAAATTAACAAATGGGCAATAACTCCAAAATTAGGACAAAAAGAGTTATTGTTCTTATGCACAAATCTGAGAAAATTCAGTAATCAAAGATTCATGTTGATATCTCTTATAGTTTTACAGCTATGTCCTGGACAAGATTTTTCTAAAAGGGGAGATAATTCAAAAATGAGGCTTAACAGAGTTATGGTTCTTTTGCACTGCACATCTACCCATTGAGATCTATTCACCTACAAAGTTTCATGTTGATATCTCTTATAGTTTTAGAGTTACGTCCCGGACAAGATTTTTCTATCAGGGGAGATAATTCAAAAACCGGGCAAAATAAAGTTATGGTTCTTTGACACTGCACTTCCCCTCAATGCCCTCTACCACTGTATGAAGTTTAAACAAATTATCTCCAAGGGTTTTCAAGTTATACTCCGGACAAGATAACTGACAGACAGACGGACAAGGCGCCGACTATATGCTCCCCCGAAATTTTTCGGGGAGCATAATAAAGATGTAACAAGAAAGCGGGTCTCTCTGTCTACCTATTGTTACAAAATTTGACAGGAATCCTCATTGGCTTACAGCAGACTGTGTGTCTTTATAAAAAATATTAAAACATCGTTTAATAGAAATTCCAGACTCCACTGAGGTTTTTCACATGATGGGACTGAAAATATTTTTTCCAGATAAATGTACCATTTGATGTAGGTTTAGACCACTAATCTTTGTGCCAAAGTTCAGATCATTCAGGCACTTTGTTTTTCCAGAATATTTATTCAAATCGTAAAAAAGTGACCAAAAATGAAAAGCATTTAAATGCTTTTCACTCACATTGGGCTAAGAAAAGCACAAAAATACGATTTTCAATTTATTTCAAAGTTTATTTCTTAACTATCTTTGCATATATTTCTGTTTAAAGTTCCCCAGCTCATTCATGTAAGAAATTAAAATGTTATGTTTTTAGGCTTTTAAACCTCAGTGGAGTCCCTTTAAATAAAGACGACGTTTTTTGAACAAATGATCAGGACAAAGAATCAATTTAAGCTTTTTCAAAGTCAATTAAAAGAAGACCAGGGATATCTTTTTCTTCCGTATAATGCATAATGTCATATATATGTCTTGAATTTTCTCCAATATATCTACCCTTGATCTTGTTTATTAATTTGTTCAAAGTGACTTTTTTATTCTATTTGCAATGACTCCAGAAGCAATTTTATAAACTGTATTTAAGAGTTATGGGTCTCAATTTTTTAAAAATTCTCTTGGTTTATTGTCTTTAGGAATACATGTAATTATTCCCTGTGTTTGAGTTATGGAAATTTTGCCTGATTCATTATGCGTTATTAAACTCCTATTTTATTAAATTTTTTTTTTATAAAAATCTGCTCTGAAATCAAAAGATCCTGGACTCTTATTATTTTTCATGTTATGTAAAAGTTGCTTCATGATAGTTTATTTGACCTTCTAAAGCATTTGATTCTGTTGGACTTAGTACAGGTCCTTGTATGTTTGAACTAAAATCATCCAAAGAATTGTCGTTTTCATTGTGTATTTTCGTCATAAATAGGTTTTGATAATATTTTTCTAATTTTTCGAGAATTGCTGTTTGTTTTTTGACAATTGTTCCGTCATCCTTTTTAATTTTATAAATATTTTAGAAGTGTAATTTTTTTTCTCTAAGCTGCAAAAGTACTGTGACAGATTTTCACCTCCAAGAATCCACTTAACTCTAGAGCAAATAAGATTATAAGCCCTGCAATTGCAAAACATTTATTTTATGAAGCTCTGTTTGAAGGTCCCGAAGGTGTGTCAGTTTATCTTCAGTTTAATCGGCTTTCAAATCTTTTATTTCTTTCAAGATATTTCCTAATTTGTTTAAATTAGTTTTCTTCTTTACATAACAACTATATGATATAGATTTCATTAAAAGAATTTCTAAAAACAATTGATCATTTATTGTAAATTGAATTTCATTATCTGGAATTTCAGTAATTTTAACATTATAAACTGGTAATGCACATTGTATTTTTATTTCGTCAATTTTTTTGTTTAAAGTATTTAAATAGTTAATGTCCTTTAATAATGAATAATTGTGTTTCCACAAGTCATCTAATTTTAAGTTTAATATAACAATGGAATGATTGGTAGCTTGTAGTTATGGAAACGTTTTCTACAAAATGGAACAAAGATGAAGTTATTAAGAGGAAATCTAGTCTTGCTTGCTGAAGAGGCGTGGGTATACGCCTGGTGTATATCGTCTTAAAGTTGGATAAAACTCTCTTAACAGGTCAACCCAATATTAATCAAACCTGTATCTCTAGCTTTACTGTTATTAATATTTTTTTTAGTTAAAGTATTTTAATGGGTCCAACACTAAACTGTAATCAACACATGATATACAGTGCCATCCATAAACATTTACACCTCTAATAATTTGCTTACTGGACGATTTACAAAGATTTAATACATTTCTGAGATAAATTTTTACACCAGTTGAGTGTCATTGCCTGTAAAACTTTATAAAGCATTATCACTTAAGGTCAATTAAATAATTAACAGGAAGTTTATTAACATTTTCATATATTAGCGGAAATCTAAAATATTTCAATTATGGTTCACATCGTTAACTGGTATATAATTATAATTGTATGCACCTTTAGCATCAATAAAAGATTAGCATGTTCTTAATAAGGAATTTACAAAGTTAGAAATTAATATTTGTGCAAGATCATAGTTATTGGTTTCAATATATTGCAGGTTGCCAGGGGTGCGTCGCTCTTAAGGTGTGTACTGAACATTTTTGCAGTTTTTAAAGTATGATGGTCATTCTAAACACACCATTACATGTTCCTCCTTTCACTGGTGACTATATTGATCCTATGATACAGTGCACCATCATCCTGGTGCTATTACTTGTTGATATGGTCCAACAAATGTGTTTCAGGAATGGTTTGTCCCTCAAAATGTCAGTACTAGTTGCCCTGTACAACGTTAAAAAAAAGTGTCAGACATTCGGTCTGACAAACCATCTATCAACCGAAACAAAATCTGTCAGACCGAATGAAATTAATAAAAATCAAAAGGAAATCTTGTGTTTGTATTTCCAAGACACTTTTCGGTTTTAATTTTTTCGCCCTATAAACCGGCACAGTCCGTACAGCGCAATTTAACCTCCTCCCTGTTGTACACCAACGATTTATAGTCCTGCTTCCATTTTTCATTAAATTTTGTCTCTGGGTCTATTTTTTTCATCCTTTTACTGCTGTTTTACGCGCTCCTCTGACATAGGTTTTCGTTTTTTCCCCAGCGACGCCATTTTTGTATACATGCGACTTGGAGTCGGATTGATCCAAAATAAACTAGAAATGTGTCCATAGGACACGGGTGCCCCCACCATGCCACTGTTCTGTCAATCTTATGACTCTAGGTCAAATATTTTTTGAAAACTAAAAATCTTTTACTAAGTAAAGGGCAAGAACTTTACAAATACTGAATAAATCCACAAGCAAACCCCAAGGTGCATAAGTACACATGCTGACCAACATTCTTGTAAACTTTCAGGCCTACAAGTGAAATACTTTTTGAGCTATGCATGAACAAGTTAAACATTGCAAATTTATACTAATTTATACTGTTTATCAAGGGCAATAACTCAAAACTGAAAGAAATCCACATGCAAAGTCCCAGGTACAAAGCTTCACAGTGATGTTTATCATTATTCTTGTAAAGTTGTTTGATTCTAACTCAAGCACTCAAGGAACAAATAACAACATAATGAAACGGTTTTTACTAAGTCAAGGGAAACAAGATATGTTTGTAAAACATGTATGCCCCCTATCAGCAGCCAATTAGTCATGTGATAAGGTTATTATGCATGACTTCTGGCCCAGTGATCAAACAATTAATAAGGGTTATCAAGTATCTACTGGTCATGACCTTAACCTTTGACCCCTTGACCCAAAATCAATAGGTCATCTGCTGGTCATGACCAATCACCATACCAAGTTTGAAGTTCCTAGGCCTTAGGGTTCTTAAGTTATTGATCGGAAACCGTTTTAACATACAAGGTCAATGTGACCTTGACCTTTGACCCCAAAATCAATAGGGGTCATCTGCTGGTCATGACCAATCATCATGCCAAGTTTGAAGTTCCTAGGCCGAAGCGTTCTTTCATTATTGATCGGAAACCGTTTTTACCTACAAGGTCAATGTGACCTTGACCTTTGACCCCTTAACGCCAAAATCAATAGGGGTCATCTGATTGGTCATAACCATCACCATACCAAGTTTGAAGTTCCTAGCCTAAGGGTTCTTTTGTTATTGATCAGAAACCGTTTTAATTAAAAGGTCAATGTGACCTTGACCTTTGACCCCTTGACCCAAAATCTATACGGGTCATCTACTGATCATGACCTATCACCATACCAAGTTTGAAGTTCCTAGGCCTTAAGGTTCTTTAGTAATTGATCGGAAACCGATTTTACCTACAAGGTCAATGTGACCTTGACCTTTGACCCCAAAATCAATAGGGGTCATCTACTGGTAATGACCAATCACCATACCAAGTTTGAAGTTCCTAGGCCTTAAGGTTCTTTAGTTATTGATCGGAAACCGTTTTTACCTACAAGGTCAATGTGACCTTGACCTTTGACCCTTGACCCCAAAATCAATAGGGGTCATCTACTGGTCATGACCAATCACCATACCAAGTTTGAAGTTCCTAGGCCTTAAGGTTCTTTAGTTATTGATCGGAAACCGTTTTTACCTACAAGGTCAATGTGACCTTGACCTTTGACCCCTTGACCCCAAAATCAATAGGGGTCATCTACTGGTCATGACCAATCACCATACCAAGTTTGAAGTTCCTAGGCCTTAAGGTTCTTTAGTTATTGATCGGAAACCGTTTTTACCTACAAGGTCAATGTGACCTTGACCTTTGACCCCTTGACCCCAAAATCAATAGGGGTCATCTACTGGTCATGACCAATCACCATACCAAGTTTGAAGTTCCTAGGCCTTAAGGTTCTTTAGTTATTGATCGGAAACCGTTTTTACCTACAAGGTCAATGTGACCTTGACCTTTGACCCCTTGACCCCAAAATCAATAGGGGTCATCTACTGGTCATGACCAATCACCATACCAAGTTTGAAGTTCCTAGGCCTTAAGGTTCTTTAGTTATTGATCGGAAACCGTTTTTTACCTACAAGGTCAATGTGACCTTGACCTTTGACCCTTGACCCCAAAATCAATAGGGGTCATCTACTGGTCATGACCAATCACCATACCAAGTTTGAAGTTCCTAGGCCTTAAGGTTCTTTAGTTATTGATCGGAAACCATTTTTACCTACAAGGTCAATGTGACCTTGACCTTTGACCCTTGACCCCAAAATCAATAGGGGTCATCTACTGGTCATGACCAATCACCATACCAAGTTTGAAGTTCCTAGCCTTAAGGTTCTTTAGTTATTGATCGGAAACCGTTTTTTGCTTTCAAGGTCAATTTGACCTTGACCTTTGACCCTTGACCCCAAAATCAATAGGGGTCATCTACTGGTCATGACCAATCACCATACCAAGTTTGAAGTTCCTAGGCCTTAAGGTTCTTTAGTTATTGATCGAAACCGTTTTTGCTTTCAAGGTCAATGTGACCTTGACCTTTGACCCCTTGACCCCAAAATCAATAGGGTTCATCTACTGGTCATGACCAATCACCATACCAAGTTTGAAGTTCCTAGGCCTAAGGGTTCTTTAGTTATCACTCGGAAACCATTTGGTCTACGGACCGACGGACCGACGGACCGACAAGTGCAAAGCAATATACCCCCTTTTTTCAAAATGGGGGCATAATAACTCTACAAATACTGGATTAATCCACAAGCAAAACCCCAGGTGCACAACTACATATGCTGATCAACATTCCTGTAAAGTTTCATGACTCTAGGTCAAATAATTTTTGAGTTACATGCGACACAAGTTGAAAATTGCAAAAATTTTCTAAGTCAAGGGTAATAACTCTAAAAATACTAAATAAATCCAGATGAAAATACCCAGGTGCACAACTACATATGCTGATCAACATTCCTGTAAAGTTTCATGACTCTAGGTCAAATAATTTTTGAGTTACATGCGACACAAGTTGAAAATTGCAAAATTTTACTAAGTAAAGGGCAATAACTCTAAAAATACTAAAAATATCCAGACAAAAATACCCAGGTGCACAACTACACATGCTGATCAACATTCCTGTAAAGTTTCATGACTCTAGGTAAAATACTTTTTTGAGTTACGTGCA